TTGACTACGACGTTCTGTAATAGTGATCAAATTCCGTCCTTGATTGAATACACCCATATTGCGACACGTGTTTTGCCTCTGAACGAGGTATCATCAGGCATTGAATAGAGTTCGGATGCAACTTAAAAGCCTAGTTTTTTTTCGGACTATTCTAATGCTGTTGGCTGCAGCTGACCTTTACTTCACCGGACGATAGGGGGCGAGTGCAGATGGCACTCCAACCCCGTGAAAAGACTTATGGAGAGTTATAGTCCTCCATAGCAATTTAAAAAACACCAGAAGAATTTTAAATAAAATAAAACTTCCATCTTCACCTCGTTTATTCCCCCAACATCAGCTCATCGCATTAAAATCCCTCAAATTTACGACTTTAGTCTGAGGGCACCGCTAGGGGTTCGAACCTCTGCTCAGGACCTCGTAATATAGATCCCCGTTTGAGTTGGACGAGTAGACGGGGGATTGATCGGAGGGGTGGAAAGCCGTTAAGTTGACCGTTCGGTGACCAAAGCGCGACTCAACTAGGCTTCCAAGCGTCTTACACGTCATCGCTCAATATATACTCAAATATAAAAATCAACATGTACTACAAAGTGATTGATTATTGAAGATTGGGACCTCGGGGTCCCTTTGTCTAGGCATTGCTCCAGGGGTAGCAACTCCAAGGTAATGGGGGTAAAAGCTTTTTAGGGCGGTTAACTAATCTAATTTATGCTAGGGACTTGATAGAAACGCGGAATGAACTGTCTTGAAGTCATCCTCATTTTAGGCACCATTCATTGGTGTTTCACCAGCAAAAACTGCATGTGACACTATTTCAAAATCTGTAGAAAAACCCATCATTAGCTAGCATAAGTTAACCTTGCAAAAATTCAATAATGTTTACGCAAGACTAATTTAGAACTTCGTGAGTGGCGTAATGATGAAATTCGATATCGATCGACAGCAGTCGGTGAAGATCATTATCTGACCGTCAAGCATTTGGAAACATGCCAGGAATCGCCTTCAAGTGGCAGACGGGGTCTGGTAATACAAAGGCGCGGGTATGAGGTTGATAACATTACTTAAATTCATCTGAAGTTCATGTAAGTACATATTCTACATATATCAATATCTATAATACTCGAGTTTCAGAGTCTTCATACCAACTACGTAAAAAGACCGTGTTTGTTAGACATTTGTGACCCCTCCCAGATTCGCACAGATGCATTACAATTTTTTTAATTTCTCGGCTTGTCTATGCTAGGATATCTAGGAGGTTTATACGCATGTATTATACATATGAACCTCCTACTTGAACCCCGAAATGATTTTTTCAAAGACTGTGTTTTGTAAGACACTAGCGACTCCTCCCAGATTCACACGGATGCAATACAAATCTTTAAATTTCTCAGCTTGTCTATACTATAACACGCATGTATTATACAAATAAACCTCCTATTTGAACCACTCTATCTATTGCTGAAAACTGCATTAAAATCCGTTGCGTAATTTAAAAGATATAAGCGAACAGATAGAAACGGCATCTTTGTTTTATACTAGCCAAACTCTGGCAGTTTATGTAAAACCGTACGCAATTCCCATCAAACGAATTACTAACTTTTATCAATCGTCAATATCTTTACATTCGCAATAATATAACAGTCGTATTTTATATTTCATCCCTATTTCGTCCTCACTATATATTCTTGTTTATACTTCAGGTATTTGTCACAATGGAAGTTTACAAAGTGTGTATTTACCACAATAGACTTATATTTCCCTGTAGCACTGTAAGCTTTGCTCATCGAATTGAAATCTTCCAATGAGTTGACTTGATCACATTTCAAAGGTTATGGAGTACTAGATTCAATTCTGTTTTCGTTAGATTAAGTAGAACATTTGGAATGATAGTTAATTCGGAAAGTTAAAATTGATATTACAATTTTGTTTATTTAAGAGGCAAATGTATAAGAGAAAGAAACGATCTTCTTAGTATTTATGGATTCACCGTGCGGATGCCGGATCCATCGTGTGGAAGAGAAGGTAACTCCGAGCAGTTCCCCGGGCTTGTAACTTGGGTGTAGATTTATTTACTCATCTTAACCGTTTGTTTTTCTCTCCTTTCCCATACAAATCTGATAAGAACCTGCTAGTACTATATAGTACGCCTTCTAGTATAGAATTTACTACGATTCTAGATAGGCTAAGATATTTTAGAAGATTGTAGAAATATTCCGCTGGTGCACCTCTCGCCCCACTTCGACCGCATATAAATTAACCTTATAGCCATTTTTCGTTAATTAATTAATTAGTTCATTCTATTTATTTATTTTTATTGCATGATCTTTAGGTATATCTGTTTCGAATGGTACAGTGAGCTCTATCTGTTTATTTTTTTTTCGAATATAATATTTTTGTATGTATAATTTCACATGCAATGTGTGATTTATGCAAACTGAAATTATAGTTACATATTATTATATATTATGGAGTATTAGATGTGTGTCTGTTTGTGTTAAATATATACTTCCTTATTTATTAAAAGTTTATTCTATTAAAATTTAGAATAATCTGTAAAATAATCTATTTCGCTATTCCGATAATGTTCGCACCGTGCGAGGAATCGAACCCACGACCATCGGAACTAAACCGGTGTGTTAAACCGCTAGACGACCGAGGCCGTCAAATCTAAAACTACATTCGTATCTCTAATCAAAACGGGTCTTTCATCTCATCCTATCCCGTATATTAGAAAGAGATGAGTATATCGTTAAGTTTACTTTGTTATAATGTGAAGGCGAAGATAAAAGCTTTCTGCATAGATGAAAAGCCTGTAACGCAATTGTATTCCCTTTTATAAGCGTTTGTCTCTCCACATACAATTATACGTTAAAATATTGTGTCTGAAACAACGCTGTATAACAAACCTTACGATATAACTCTGTTTACGAAGTAGTTCTAACATATATGTATTTGTTTTTATAGAAATGGAAATAAACTTAATATAAACATATTAATTTATCTCTATTGTCATGTTTTTATATTTAAATATATATTATATAAATAGAAAACATCGAAGGACATCAGTTGGGCGTCTTACAAAAAAATAATCTGAATATAGAATATAATCTAAATATATATAACTCAAAGGTGACTGACATAGTGATCTATCAACGCACAGCCCAAACCACTGGACGGATCAGGCTGAAATTTGGCATGCAGGTAGATGTTATGGCGTAGGCATCCGCTAAAAAAGGATTTTGATTAATTCTATCCCCAAGGGGATAAAATAGGGGATCAACGTTTGTATGAAATTTTCTCAATTTTGAACCGATCGGGCTGAGACTATGCATGCATATAGCTACTATGACGTAGACATCCTCTGAGAAAGGATTTTGATAAATTCCACCCCTAAGTGGATAAATTAAGACGAACGAAGCTGCGGGTAAAAGCTAGTAGAATATAAAATTCTTTCTCCATAAAACGTTAATATAAATATTGTACTGGCATAAAAATATATTACAATAAATAAAAATAAGAATAAAGAAGAACAGAAAATATATGTGCATATTCAAAATTAATTAATTAATAATGTGCATATTCAAAATTAACCTACAAAATATAACATTTGTATTCATCATAATTATTATTCTCAGACTCAAACAGTACTGCATGATAAATTATTATTCTCAGACTGAAACAGTACTGCATGATATTATTATAATTATTCATTTAATTAAACAAAGGTAAAGTAAACGAAACGGACTGCATTGAAGCTTAGCATCTGTCTGTTTATATTGCAGAAATATCAACAATATTACTAGGAACTCGACAATGCTGAAGCCATTGTATTGTACACACTCGTATTTCTGGTTCGAGTCGTCTCTCGCTATGCAGTTGTCGTATACAAAAGATTTATAAAATAAATCAGAGTACCCGTATTTCCTTTGCTCCAAACAAGACATTTTATTATTATTAAATTTGCAGAGAATGATGAACATTGTTCGAAATTCAAAACAGATTTTGAGAAATTTTACATTGTTATTATTTGTTGTTATAAATATATTTTTTTTATTTGTCCTTAATTTAGACAACGATATTTTTACAAACAAGGTTCTTGAACGGTTCCCGTTTTGGTTGTTCTGTTACTACTTTAGTATCAAATTTATAAGCCAAATCATCAACACTCCTACGCTGGTCACAAAGACTCCAGAAGCATTTAACATAACTGTCTGCGTAGCACTGAAACTGTCCCTGCGGCTCGAACAGTACCAGCCCTCGAGGAGATGGCTTGTACCAACCCTCGCATCACATTCGTCGTTTCAACACCATTATTTAATTAATATAACAAATATAATAGAAAATAAACTTGTATTTTTTGTATAATTTACATAATTAATGCAATAGTGCAACGCAAGGAAATTACATTTCGAATATTATTTTGAAATTCGAACAATATTCAAAATAGAATTTTATTTTTTTAATTTAATATCAGCTGTTTTATAACAATTTCTAAATATATTGATTTCAAAATTTTCTCGTATGTTTACAATTGTATATGTCACTAGCTATGCCCGTGGTTTCAATCGCATGAAATTTTAAGCTTATGGGTTATTCTGATGTATAAGCTATCATACTTACTTGGCATTTATAAAGATACTATGTAAATTATCCGAAATATTTAGCGTTATATTTCGGACAATTTACATAATATCTTTTTTAATTAATATAGTCCACGTGTTAATCTGATGTATAAGCTATATTACTGTAACGTTTCATCAAAATCCGTTAAGTCATTTTTGCGTGAAATAGTAACAAACTGTCCATCTATCCATCCATATTAACAAACTTTCGCGATTATAATGTTAGTAAGATGTTTGCGTTTTCTATTCCCAGATGGCGCACTCCAGGGGCAGGTAGAAGCACGCGGGCGCGGTACGGAGTCAGCATTGCTCAATGAGCTCCACTCAACGCTGGCGTCCCATGCCGCGCCCGACCACGACTGGCAACACACCCTCACGCTCATCCTTAAAGGCCTCGTCTTCGCCACCATCATACTCGGAGCCGTATTCGGGAACGCCCTCGTCATCATATCCGTTCACAGACACAGGAAACTTCGGGTCCTCACCAACTACTATGTCGTCAGCCTGGCCGTCGCCGATATGCTTGTGGCTCTATGCGCGATGACGTTCAACGCCAGTTCAGAATTGACCGACGAATGGCTCTTCGGTCCAGTGGTGTGCGATGTATATAATTCTTTAGATGTCTACTTCTCCAGCGCTTCCATTCTCCATCTATGCTGCATATCCGTAGACAGATACTACGCTATTGTCAGGCCTTTAGAATACCCAGTGACTATGACGCCCAGAACGGTATGCTTCATGCTGGCGAATGTCTGGCTATGGCCGGCCTTCATCAGCTTCGTGCCGATATTCATGGGATGGTATGCCACGGAACAACACCGGCAATACAGAAGAGCCAACCCGGATGTGTGTATATTTAAAGTGAATATGGTTTATGCGATAGTTTCTTCGAGTGTTTCGTTCTGGATACCAAGTTTGGTCATGATATCGATGTACTGCAGGATATTTAGAGAAGCGATAAGGCAACGGGAAGCGTTGACGCGTACATCATCGAATATACTACTGAATTCTGTTCATATAAAACATACTTCGCATTCCGCACACCATTCGCATTACCTGCACCCTGATAGAAGACCATCAGACATTAGTCCAAACTACAGCACATTTACGGAGGTAGGACCCGAGGAGACTGAGTTTGGTGGAGAAGTTGTGATGTCGCTTGGTGATATTTGCCCCAGCAAGGAAGCCAGTCCAAGGAAATCCGTGAACATTAGTTGTGATACAGCAAGCTCTGGATACTGTTCTGGTGGATCGAATAAGCGGTCTTCTAGTGGGCAACCGCCTGCTGGTTGGAGGCCGAGCTGTTCTTCTGCCGTAGCTACCAGAGATTTGGCGAAGGCAGCCACTGAATTGAATGCACAAGGTAAGATTTGATAATAATAAAAATAAGAATCATTTATTTATATTAATATTAAGAAAATTTGTATACGATTATATAAATTTTTAACTATACGAAATAAAATCTTATTTGAGGGTATACAATTAAAAAACTTATTAGCTTCTGTGCTAGATAAATAATTGTGTTATGGCAAGGTAAGAATCTCAGACCATACCACACGACTCATTTTAGAAATGTTATGTCAGTCAGTAACTTCAATGCTAAAAGCAGATGTTTAGAATTAGGTAAACCAGAAGTACCCCACGCAAACTACTTTATATATGTAATATTATTTAAATATAATTAAAAAGAATGAAAAAATACTTACGAACTTGATAGAATATTAGTGAATAAATGAAATTTGTAAAATATTCTAGGATAGCAATATACGGGTAGCCAACTCGTTCATTCTAAAATAATATTATATTAACCCTGAAACGATTCACACAGCGCCGTCTACTCCCAAGAAAAGCAGAGCTTATTTTATACGTACTAAACAACCGATACATATACTTAGACATTTTTTTAATACATTCCTAATATATATAGAGAACACCCAGAGCAATATAGACAAGAATACTCATAAATCAGTTTTTGAATTCGCTACCATCTAAAGTAAAGCTGTGTGCTAAACCGTTAGACCATCAAGGTAGTCAATGGTTGACAATAAGGTATGCGGTTTCAGAGGAGCTTCCTCCCGCGTACCCTTAAATTGTAGAATGACCTACCTGCTGAGGTTTTCTCACGAGACTACAGCATGGGGTTTTCCAAGAAGGAATATTAAGATTTCTTAAGGGTCGGCAACGCGCATGTGATACCTCTGGTGTTTCAGGCGTCCATAGGCTACGGTAACCGTTTACCATCAGGTGGGCCGTTTGTTTGCCACCTACGTGGTATAAAAAAACGATTTAAAAAAGGTAGAGAATGCAAAAAGTCAGCTTACTATAATTGCTTGGTAAACGAAGTACCGTAATTGTAATTATCATCTGTCAATTTAATTCTCCTAGAGCATAGTGAGGGCTCAGTGTAACTGAATATTTCATTTGTTTCAACCAATGCGTGTAATAATTTATGACCCGATCTGAACTTTCATGGTTGAATAATTATTCATGTGACTGAAAACGAAGAACGGGCTATAATCGAAGTTTCCTGTATGAAACATGATTTCTCTATATTTACTTATTTTCTACATGACTTCATTTCATAGACCATATATATCTATATCTATATTTTTTATTATTACAGAATGAAGTCGCTTCCGTTGTCTATTCGCTTAGATCTTTTAGAGTACCCAGCGGATTATGATCGTTTTTTTCATCTCAGAGACAAATTCGTAACTGTGTCACGGTCATAAAAAATAGACAATAATGTTTAACTGCAGATTCTGTTATCTGCAGATTCTGTCAAACTGAAGAGGAAACGCCGCTTCACATCCTATGTGGTTGTAGCCCACTCATGCATAAACGAAATATCTCCTTTGGAAAGTTTACACTCTTTCCCGAGGAGATAAAAACCATCGCCCCTAAGAATATCCTTCAATTCTTGTCCCTGACGGGTCTAGGTAGCGAACTTTGAAAAAGGGCGAGCACAATAGATCTATGTAGGTCACAGTGCTACAGGTGCTACAAACATCTGGCCAAACAACCCAATAAAAAAAAAACATTCAGGCGTCCATAGGCTACAGCTAATTCTTTACCATTAGATGGGCCGTATGCTTGTTTGCCACCTACGTAATATAAAACATAAAAAACACGCAAAATAATTTGCAACTCCGCCTCTGGATAACAACTCATAAGAACAAAACAATAAAAAAATGCAGATGAAATTGAGATCACCCTTTTCCGAATAAAACAAATTTAGGGTCGGGTATTGCCAACCCTAAATTTGTTTTATTATATACGTATCACTCCTGGTGCTTCAGGAATCTGTAGGCTACCGTAACTTTTACCATAAGATCAACTGTATCGTATGCCTGTTTCCTAAAAGACGCAAATTACTTTCTAGCTTCACCTCTGGATAACAACTCATAAGAAAACAATAAAAAAATGCAGATGAAATTGGGATCACCCTTTTCCGATTTCAATAAAAGAAAAACATAGAAAACATGCAAAAGACTTTGTAACTGCACCTCTCGATAACAAATTATCAAAACAAAATAAGAAAAAAAATGCAGATGAAATTGGGTTCACCCTTTTCCGAATTCAATAAAAGAAAAACATAGAAAACATGCAAAAGACTTTGTAACTGCAGCTCTCGATAACAAATTATCAGAACAAAATAAGAAAAAAAAATGCAGATGAAATTGGGATCACCCTTTTCCGAATTCAATAAAAGAAAAACATAGAAAACATGCAAAAGACTTTGTAACTGCAGCTCTCGATAACAAATTATCAGAACAAAATAAGAAATAAAATGCAGCTGAAATTGGGATCACCCTTTTCCGAATTCAATAAAAGAAAAACATAGAAAACATACAAAAGACTTTGTAACTGCACCTCTCGATAACAAATTATCAGAACAAAATAAGAAAAAAATGCAGATGAAATTGGGATCACCCTTTTCCGAATTCAATAAAAGAAAAACATAGAAAACATGCAAAAGACTTTGTAACTGCACCTCTCGATAACAAATTATCAGAACAAAATAGAAAAAAAATGCAGGTGAAATTTAGATCACCCTTTTCCGAATTCAGTATAAGAGGAAGAACATCCACTAATTGCATCCGGTAATCCATCAACACCTACAACAGCATTACTGTTCCGTTGTATCCCCCTTTGAATCTATCAAAACGAATGTCTAGCAAGAAAAACCTTTTTGTATTGCCAATAAATTGTCTCGGATAAGGATATCTTTGTGCTCCCTTATTTTCTTTTCGCCCCTTTAACTTGTCAATATATCCCCGATATTCGCGTACCAAAGTTCGCGTTCTTATTGATAAGACGAAACAAATGATGCGAGTTTCTAGTGGGCACTCGAAACATTCACTGCGCCATTTCGAGTAGGATTTTCTAGATAACTTAGTATTTGTTTTGGATTTAGCTATGTCTAAAACGTAAAATCGAAACGTGAATAAGTCTAACAACGATATTACCGGATAAAGTAACCGATTATGATTGATAGGAATGGATAATGTAGCTGTTACATGCTATTTAATTCGTATCATTATTGATTTTTAATACCAAATACCGGATATACCAAATTCATTATACGCTGGCAAATACTACCGACATAAAATTTTATGATTTCGGGCGTAACATAAATTGTATTATATATAGATAGAAGACATAGATATCGTAAGCGATACATAAGCTATTTAATACCGCATATAAATATACCTATATTTATATGCAGTATTAAATAGCTTATGTAACACTTATAATATATATTAAATAGTTTGTGTACATACGTATGCAAATACGACTATTTGTAACGAACAATACTAATCTTAAATAACTAATGCATATCTTTTGCTTTGAGCATTGTTAGTGTTAAGCAAATTCACCTATTTGTGTCACTTACAATTAGGTGAATTTACATACATATGCATTTATATGCAGTATTAAATAGTTTATGTATCGTTTGATATTTAGATGTCAATTATACATAGATTGTAATCAATTACATCGCGAACGGCTTCGATGGTCTGTCTATTTAGCACACCTTCCGATGGTTGTGGATTCGATTCCTCGCACGGTACGAACATTTGTATTCTGAGTATTTTTTTTTAATAAAAGAAGCATACGGCACATCTGATGGTAAATGGTTACCGTAGCCTATGGACGGTGGTTTGTGAGGGACTGGGTGTTTTCTATGTGTATTATGTAATTACAAAAATATATCTAAGTGTACCTATTAGTTGTGTAGTCCATTTTGAGTATAAACTCTGCTTAGCTCGGGACTATATGACGCTGTATAATCGCCTAGAGCTATTACTATTATTATTCTATGGTTTTCTTACTGGTTTCGAAATAGTTAATGGAAAACGGTAGCTTAGATTTAAATTTTATGAAAAATAATAATTCTGAATAGCGAAATATTACATCACAAAGTTCTTTCAGAATTATCTTTATCACAATTTGATGTCTAAAATATAATTATTATAACTTAAACATAGCTGTCGGTATTAAGTTAGCTTAGTGAGTTTGAAGAGTTTACGTGCCCTGGCGTCTTAGACAGGAATCCTTCAACCTGAGCTTATTTGAGGCTTTAAAGCTTTAATAGAACAGTCTTAACGTAAACTTTTAATATGAGACTGGCCACTTTGAAAGCACAAATAGGACTTCGGACCATGGCAACTAATAGAAATAATCTTTTACAAATAAACTTATTTTTAAGAGATTCTGAGTAGCTCTGTATTTATGTTTCTACCTTCAAATAAACTTTGTTTTTAATTACTAAGTAGTTGAGTATTTGTGGTTATATCACAAAGTTTCAGCAGTTTTAGCGGAGAAGAATAAACAAGATACACTCTGTACTTTATTTTATTATTAAAATGGCAAATAACGCGACTGTTCATCATCATCAGATTATATGAGGCAATCGTCGCATACATATATATGTATATACGTATCACGATATCACGTTATCATGTGACGCCCATAGTAATATTTATGATTTGCCATTCTGGAGGATCGATTGATTATTGTCAAATACCTATAACACAAGCTCAGCTTAGATTGGAACTAGATGGCGCTGTGTGAAATGTTCAGGGTTATCATTATTATTATTGAATTAATAAAAGGGTTACAAATGCCATTCACATCATCATCATCAGCCCATGCAGTCCATTGCTAAACATAGACCTCACCCAAAGCACGCCACTGGGTATGATTTTCACAACTTACCTATTTACTTCCCTCGTAAGTCAGGTAAATTTTGTATGAATAAGTAATTTCTCTTTACATGCCTTTAGCTACCAGAGTTCCCAAACAGACTCACTTTCACACTTATAACATTCAAACGAATTTTGGTATCGATTTGATAACAAAAAATATAGTAACATCGTTTCAGAATCAACGTTCTACAAATCGATTGGACCGTATTCTAATAGTTTTAATTAACTTAACCAAAACTTAGTTTTATCAGAGAAGCAATCAACTTCTGCCGACGGTATCGTAATTGAACGAGCTGATTTGATCGCACCAGTTAAATCAGTTTTCAACTAATTTCGGCAAAGCTAATGAAGTTTGTCGATACCTTACATAATGTATTCATTATGTATTAGCTACTCACCCCTGCTTCACACGGATGTACATGTATTATACATATAAACCTTCCTTGAATTGTCTATTGCTATAAACTGAGATAAAAGCAGATACATCATCATCATCATCATCATCATCATCATCATCATCATCATCATCATCATCATCATCAAGATACGCGCGTTATAAAGCGCACATGTAGATAACAATAATAACATCATCGCCATCGACATGGAATTCATCATCAAATGTTCTCGGATACGCAGCGAAAATGGATTGAACCAGCCGAGTACAGCATGGCGTTTTTTCAAAAAATATATGTTAATATTTCTTAAGGGTCGCCAACGCGCATGTGACACCTCTGATGTTTCAGGCATCCATAAGCTACGGTGACTGTTTACCATCAGATAAGCCGTATGCTTGTTTACCGCCATAGTAGTGTATAAAAAAACTCAGACAGATAGTTTTGTCCGAGGCAGACTTTGAAAAAACTCGTCTGCATGAGTCAGTCTCTATTTCAGCCAAGCAGCTTGCGTATAGCTGTGTTTTAGTTGCAATATTAGATTAGACAGCAAAGCTAAATAAGAAGCCTGACGTTATAACTGAGTCTTATCACTGATGACGGCCTCGGTAATCTAGCGGTTTAAACATTAACCTTACCTCCGATTGTCGCGAGTTTGTTTTCTCGCTCAGTACAAATATTTCTATTCATGATTATGATTGTTTGTTTTGATATTATATATTTGCAAAAAAAGTTTTTATTTTAGTTATCTAGTACCCATAAAACAAGCTTTAATTACCTTAGGACTAGATTGCGCTATATGAATTGGGTTATAATTATACGATAATAAAAATACAGAAACAAATATACTTTAAAATTAAATAAACTGACAAACACATCAGTTGTATATATTAGTATATATAGATATTCCAAAAAACAGCAATATTCATAATATTAATACAAGATTTAAAGACAAACTTGCTGTCCCCAAGTATCGTTTAGAAAAAGTTAATAGGTCTTTTATGGGAATAGGTATAAAAATTTACAATAAGATACCAAAAGATATGTTGGAATTACCCTTAAATAAATTCAAAACATCTGTTAAATCATATTTACTGAGCAAAGCCTATTACTCACTAAACGATTACTTGAATGACGAGTGTGCATGGCAATAGTTGTTCATGCACTGATTTTCATTTAATGTTAGACATAGACACCTATATAAATATACATTGTAAATAAACTGGCTTTAAAAAAAAAAGTAATTCAATTGAGTTTCTTGCCAGTTCTTCTCAATTGGATCTATATACCGAACTGGACGGTAGGGAAAAAAATAAAATTATAATGTAAAATTTGACGTTCATAAGCGGCTAAAATGTCCTACATGAATAAATGATTTTTGAATTTGAATTTGAATCTGAAATACTGTAACAAAGTAACCAACTTACATATTATTCATCTGTAGCAATTGAACTCGACAAAGTTTTTCTTTAACGATAAAAACACAAAACCAAAGTAAACATACTTACGGAGGCTTTAGGGATCATTTTGTATATTTAAATACATCAAACCTGTAAAACCAGGGCCGGAGTAAGGGGTGTAATATAAATAATAATAAATAAGCGACTTGTACACGCGAGATGTTGTTGTAAAATTATAAAAATGCTATTAGAAGTATTAATTAATATTATTTCCACAATATACATTAATTATTAAGCTTATATATTTCGCTTTATTTATATAATTTTTAGAAGTATATTGGTACGTTTATATATATATATATACACAAACCTATATATATGTATATTTTTTTCTGTATTTATCTATTTAATACTTGTAAAATTATATATACAGAGAATGCCATCAGGCATTAAGTATATATATAATAAATACATACATCGGTTATTTTATAGTGATCACAAGGACGGGCTTATGTCACCAAGTCACATGCTTACACAATTGTATTTATAAATGTTGTTTACAAGACTGTTTAAAAATTTCCTAATTATTGAACACGTATCTAATACTGATTTCTGTAGTTCAATGTAACTAGATTTTCTTAATTGCAGTTAATGTAATGAAGAATGCAATTATTTTGGGATCATTCCATGTGGATGATAGAATAATAGGGATAATTACATATTATTATTATTATTAATAAGAAATTTATATCAATAAATATTAGTTTAATATATTTGGAATTATTTAATACAACTTTGTACAGAATGTTTTGTTTACAAGATTTTTTATTGATTATCATTAAATGATAACATATCGACAACATCGTAGCATTACATGGATTTACTACCGGCATTCGTCCTCAAATAAGGAATAAAATTTTGAGTACCGATAACAAACCAAAATAATCCAAGAGACGGTGTGATAAGTCTCAAAATCCTTTCAGCTGTTTAGCTGTGGAAAGAAATAAAAAAAATACTAAGTAATAACATAAATACATAAAACTATACTTAAGCTATACTTGTATCTTATTAATTAGGAATATTGCCTACACCTCTTGTTGTTGTAATAGAGCTATTATTATATGTAGACCATAAGTGACCACACGGACAGCCGATGATTATAAACTTGATAAAAAAAAATAACTGGCAACCCTGTACTATAATTAGTAGACGACCTCGGTGGTCTATCGGTCTAGCACACCGCTTTACATCCGATGGTCGCGGGTTCGATTCCTCTAACGGCATAAATATTTGTATTCATGAGTATGATTGTTTGTATCGGTCTGAGTATTTTCTATGTAAAATGTGTATGTATTTACGAAAAAAAATATCTATGTATTCGTATCAGTTGTCTAGTACCCATAACACAAGCTTTAGCTAGCTTAACTTGGGTCTTGATGGCGCTGTGTGAATTGTCCTGAGATTATTATTATTATATTATATTATTATCCCTATCCAGTTTGTAATCTATATAATCTGTGATCTATGAAAAGTAACAATCCCACAAACGTACTACAGAAGCACTTTCGCTTTTAAAATATTAATATGAAAATATGGATATAATGTAATGAATTATTCAACGCCCTCTCGACTCTCCCTTAATCCGGCCCTGTGAAAAATATTAACATTTCCCCGTATTTCTGCAGGTGCGTCCCTCCGCGCGGCTGGCAAATCCTGGCGGGCGGAACATAAAGCGGCGCGTACACTGGGCATCATAGTCGGCGCGTTTTTATTGTGCTGGCTACCATTTTTTATGTGGTAAGTACAAGTAAATGATTTATAATTGACACAAATCAAAAATCTTTTATTAATGTTTAAGATATAAGGTTTTTAGGTTGATTTATTTTGTCTAAACTACTAGGTTACCGAGGCAATATGCTTTTATATACGCTTTGTAACGAACAAACACACTTTCTTTATTTAAATTATTAACCGGGTCTTAACATGAATATTTTATGGCAAATAAAGGTATTTACCTCTCTCGACGTTTCGACTAGGTTGCACTAGCCGTGCAGTCAGCTCGTGACCACGGCTAGTAAGACCCGGTTAATAATTTAAATAATGTATATTAAACACGAAAGTTTAAAATTAAACACACTTTCTGATATTACAATTCAAAATTAAAAAATATATACATACATCTTTATTCATGTATCTCTATTATAGATGCTTATGATATGTCAAATCTACCGTCAGTTCGGAATGATTTCGAGTTGAGAAGAACTAAAAAAAACTAAGTTCGTATTCTTTTCAAATAAATGTTGTACATGTTTACAATAATACGGATTCATTTTTAAATTCGAATCTGCGAGAATAGTGTGACCACCAGCATATGCTATTGCAAAAGCAAATAGCCTATCAGTATTTCTAACCCGAACAGATCAGTCCCAAATCAATATTAGTAAAGATTAAAACGCATACATAAATTTTAGCCGCAGCTGGCCTTTACAGCTTCACCGAACGATAAGGGGCGAGTGCAGATGGCACTCCAAACTCGCGGAAAGACTTATGGAGCGGCTGAAGACCAACTCCCGCCTGACGGATACGACTTTAGTCTGAGGTCCGGCCGCAGGCCGTCGTAATTTCGATCCCCATTTGAATTGGACGGAGGATCGATCAGAGGAGTTCGAAGTTTTTAATAAATACTAGATTTATTAATAGTTAATGATATACCCCATTTATTCGCAGGTACGTTACAACGAACGTTTGCGGAGAGCCATGCGAAACACCAAACATTGTTGTTGGTGTGCTATTCTGGATCGGCTATTTAAACTCAGCCCTGAATCCGCTCATTTACGCGTATTTTAATCGCGACTTCCGAGACGCATTCAAAAACACGCTCATGTGTGTGCTGCCTTGTTGTTTCAGCTGTTGGAAAGACACGGGTACGGCGCAGTTTGTATAATTACTACACACTTGCGACAAAAAAATCGCATAATTTATTTCGCGATTAATTGTACTCATGTAAACACTATTGTATATTAGTTCTAGTAATTAGAATATAAAATGCGATTTAAAATCGTATCGAATTGTTATTTGCTTAATATCGATAGAAGATATGTTAGTATTAAGAGAAATGATTGGGTATAATTGAAATGATTCTGTATATAATTAATTGTGTATATATTTAAAGTGCTACCAAATTATTTAGATTGCCTAATATAGGGCAATCTGTTAGTTATAAATATCGCGATAATAAAGAAATCTCATGACTCGGTAGCATTCCATCATGTAAAAAAAATATTTCGTACCAAAATGTCTTTGCTGCATGTAAATTGGTCTTTTTTTAGGCACTAATTCTATAGTGCCTACCAAAGCATACTGTGATCTGTGTTTTTAAATGTCAGTTTACATGGAGCGAAAAATTTTTATTTAATAAGTTTTTTTTTAATTTATAACATTATTACATTACTCATAGTACTTTATTATTCATCATAAACATTATCGTAATACTATGAAATATAATAGTATGCCCTATATAGAGAATGAAAAAAAATGGAAGCACTCTATATATATATAAATATAATATATATAATAATGTCGAGACTGGTTCACTTTGTATGTCTATAACTATATTTATCAAAAAAAATTTATAACAAAAATTTATGAAACATTTGCATCGTTATTCTTAGACAACAGTTACTATTACATATAATTTCATTTCAGGGTTGCCAACGTTAATAAAACTTTTAATGTCAAAAATCTAGTTTGAATCTCAACTTGGTTGTTTCACCCTGCATTGTGATCAATTTCCTTAAGTCAAAATATCGTACACCTCGTTAGAACCTCGTACAAGTGTGTACGATATTTTGATTAGTTCGTACCAAAGGCTAACCTCGTACATTTCTACGATACGAACAAGGAATTCATACGTTCGGCAGCCCTCTCTCATTCTTATCCTTAATAATTTTGTGGACATAGTATCATATGAAGCTTATTAAATATTAGAGACAGTTGTAAAGTAGATTAAACTCTTATTATAGTAACAGTTAAAGTTGAACTCTTGTTATTCACTAAGTCACCAAACTGGGATATCCGGGTAAATAATGTAGTTAACAATTGTAAATATTTATTGATTAATATATAACGAATTAAATATAAATATACATAGATATAAATAGTTAAATCGCATATATTAACGTATCCCCCTTCAAAGTTTTTTTTAATTTACCGGAAATGGAATAAAAACTATTTAAATTTTCATTTTGAGCGTCGTTCCGAATCGTTTCCGGCTCAAATATGTTTCTAGAAATTTAACGCGGATGTACTTCTAGCCTACACGAAATAAACAAATATATACAAGTCCATCTATTTAAACAATATGTAAGGTTTATAATGAAATCTATATTATAATATCCATCGATAATAATAATAAAATTAAACATATTCCTAAATGATTCATTATTTATACGTACAATTAGGAAAAAGCCGGGCTTTTAACGTACCACGTTCTATTTATTTTTAATGAGTTCCCGATATTTAGGCAGTGTTTCAACGGACATGGTCATGGCCGAAATTAAATAAAAATTAATAAAACCTGATAAGATAACATGTTTTTTTTTAATTGAACGTGTAAATAACAACTGCGGCAAATTTAAAACAACATGTCTTATAATTAATCGAAAAATTCTTACGAAACGTTTTTTGATCCTAACAATATAATATGTGTAAAGGATAATGAATTTTGTAACCACTATCAAAAAGAAGATTATTATTCGACGGCATCTATGTTACTTAATATGTTCTAAAAACTAAACTCGATCATCTTTTTATTCAATATGGTTAATTCTCATATTGATATCCTAAATATATTGGTATAAATAGTAATTGGTTTAAAAAACTCTTTTAAACCCTAAATAACCTATTTTAAACTTTTAAATTTTTTATATTGGTATCCCAAAAAGGTTGTTATAATTTGTAATCCTTTTGAACCCCAAATAACCACTGTCCACGACACAATATTACATTATTGTATATTACTGTTTTATGATAATTATCATTATTTAACAAATTTATTTATAACTAGTTGTACCCGCGACTTCGTCCGCGTGGAATTTAACATTATTTTTCTAAAACAAAAGTAGCCTAATGCCAAAAATAGTCCGTCAAAATCGGTCCAGTTATTTCAGAGATTAGCCGGAATAAACAGACAGACAGACAGACAAAAATTGTAAAAAATTTTATTTTGGTGTACATACTTTATATTCATATGCATGTAGTAAAAAACTGTTATTTCAATATTACAAACAGACACTCCAATTTTATTTATGTGTATAGATATACACTGGCGTCGTCTTATTGTATAATTGTGATAGTTTAATATAAGTTGGCAATAATAGTAAGTGTTTTAGTGTCAAACGCTTCTTAAAATCATAACTGCCATTTGCAATTACGGTATTTTCTATCTCTATTAATATAGGTTGTAATATAAGTAATAGTTGCTCAAAATATATATTTATTAGTATTATTATATTGCTTTATTAATTAATTTAATGGGTAATCAAAATGGAAATGGGTTTTAACCCAAAAAATCAAGTTAGTTATATTTTAATGAGGTATTTCTGTATAGCGTTTATACATGGCACGACTTGTCACCTGATCTATTGGCTGAATCCCATACGGTTCATACACTTCGCATACAATAGCCCACCCAATTCACTTCAGCGCGTGACAATACAATACATACATTTAATTGAAATAATAACTCTAATAAATTGCTTAGAATATAATAAGTTAATAGGTAAAACAAGAAGTCTGCACGATTTATTACTTTTATTAATTTATTTGTAAGCATAAATAAAAACACTGTATGTTATAAGTAAAAGGTGGTCTCACTTCTATGTTACTAGCTACTAGTCCCGGCTTCGCACGGGTGTACATGTATTATATATATAAACCTTCCTCCTAAATCACTCTATCTATTAAAAAAACTGCTTCAAAATCCGTTGCGCAATTTAAAGATTTCAGCATACATAGGGACGGACAGACAGCGCCAGCGACTTTGTTTTATACTATATGATGATGATACGGTTTCACTTATATTTACGAGGCGTTATCACTATAAGTAATTAATTGCAAACACCTTAGTAAAAAGTATATACATATTTATGTTACTTATTTGAACATATGCATGTACGTATGTACGTACATGCATATACCCATACACTCATATTAATGGAAACAAATATGAAAATAGTTTATTTGATTGTGTATATATTTTAAATGAATTAACCCTAATATAAGGGTTAATCAAAACTAATTGGCAACAGTTACTTGATGCGGACAAGGCCGCAGGATGCAATTAGACTATGGAACAGTATATAGAAAACATTAAAACATACCATTTTGTAGTTATAATTAAGGTTTTCAGCTACAAACAAGTACAGTCAGCAGAGATATTGCACGCTTAGTATTGTATGACATGCGATGTTACGTGAATAGGGACAAATGTAAAAAAATATGTAATTATCCAGTCCTTGCAATTATAAGTTGCCATAGTTTATTGAACATAATAATAATAATAACCCTGGAGAAGCGCCTCGTACAGCGCCATCTAGTACCAAGTTAAGCAGATCTCGTGTTATGGGTACTAGTCTATTTATATGAATACATACATAATATACATAAGAGACACCCAGATCAATACAAACGCTTATAGTAATGAATACAAATATCTGTACAATGGGAGCAATCGAACCTGCGACCATCAGAAGTAAAGCGCTATGCGATACCGATATAGAGGATCACCGAGGCAGTCAGTAATATAATATATTTCCATATGATGTCACTACTTCATCCCAGATAGGATCAGAGGCATTATCGACTGCTGGTAAGCGTCCTAGTGAACGCAACACTTGACATGACCACGTTTCGCTGAATATGTACATGGTAGGGGTCGAGCCAACCATAATTAACCATATTAGTAGTATTAATTTAGATTTTTATCGGTGTTTGGATCATCGGAGAATCAGTCAGAAATAAAAATTGACACAGAAGGTCAACCAAATTAAAGTCGTCTATCGTGGTATGGACATGTAATGCGTAGGAATGAAGATAATATTTTAGGGAAGGTGTTACATAATGAATGTGGATGTTGATGGCAGAGGAAGGCCAAAAAAGAGATGGATGGACTGTGTGAAAAATGCTATGGTAAGAGAGGAAGTAAATAACGAGATGACTGAGAACAGGGATGAATGGAAGAGAGAAACATATTACGACGACCACAAATAAATGGGATAAGGAAAAAGCAGATGATGATGATGATGGTTACAGACAGCTAAATTTGAATCTATGTCCTTTGGGATGTAAGTCTGGCATCCAATAAGCCTGGACGCTCTCTTTGCCTATTATTAAAAGTAATTATTAGTACACTTTAAATTGTTTATAAGATCTGGATAACCCTTTGATAAAAGGTTTACCAAATAGGCAGCCATTTGTAATGTGTTCTAAGTGCGATAGTTAGTAAACCAATATTGAATCCAATTATCCTTGACAAGCGTCAAGGGCGGTCTGACCCTACACCGACCTCGCTTCTGTTTATTGTATTCATCATTAAAATACTGAGTAAAGTAAGAAAATTGTGAGTCCATTGTCATTGAACAAAATTGATTTTCAGCACCACTGACAGTAAATTGCTTCCACATTGCAAACTCCTGGAATAAAGTGCGTTCCGATTCCCACGTCACACGCATCGACGCTTCGAGCGTTCCGTTTTACGCTCTGCAGCGCTTGAAGCGCTCTCGATACAGCTAGCGCGTTAAATTTTTTATGTATAGTAATTAGATAACTAAGTTACTATTTTATACAACCCTAATTTAATATGAAACATTTCATGTCATATGTACATATGTTAGTTTCCTTTTTTAAATCAATTTAATATTATATATATTTCAATAATCAAATTAT